AGCTGAAGTTCAACATAACCGTTGTCGACCGTCGTCAACCATCACTGACCTTCATCGACTATCACCGACCGTCGTCAATCACTGACAATCCCCATCGACCACCGCAAAAAGTTATTGCGTCAACCACTATCGATCACCACTGATCGAACGTCGTTAATAGCTGTTGGTCACTGCCCGTTCTTAGCAAAATATTCATCAACATGATGACATTGTAACTTGAGAGCCTATTAATGATTTCTTGCCTGTGGGACAAATCGCTGCAACTGTAATCATCTTTTATAGTGGAACTCTTCGGTTAGGCCAAGCCCCATGGTTTTCCCCTTTCCAGAATTTTCACGTAAAAACTTCAGGTTTCATTATTTTTTTTCTCTCTTCTAAGTGTGGTTGAATCTTCGTACCACACTAAAATGATAATCTGATACTCTAATGCCTTGAATTTTCTAGCACACATCAGTTTGGCACTGTTTGTGGAAAACTGTAATCTCATCACTAAAGTACTTGCGAGACTCAATACTCGTAACAATGAAGCATCACAATCCAACACCCATCATTCCAGGGAGTATTTTTATAATTTTGGCAATTTTGGGGGTATTTTGGTAATTTGGCATTTTGGGTGGTTTTGGGCAATTTGGATATTTTGAAATGGTTTGAAATGATTTTTAAACAAATTTGAGTATTTTGGGTGAATTTGAGGATTTTGACCAAATTTGGGGTTTAAGGACATTTAGGTAATTTGAATGGATTTAGGAGCAAAAGGCCAAGTTAGACATTTTGGTACAATTGGGGTGTCTACCACCATAGATGAGCTATGGACAAATGGAATCCCCATTTTGGGTTCTCTATGTGCTGGTCTTAGCTAAACCCTAGTCCTAGGACTAGTGGGTGTAGGGGACCATCTACATGAGTCTTTTAAAAGATCAAGGGAAGTCAATAATTTTAGATTAGGGTTGTGAGTGGATATAGGTGATGGTGAGTGTAGTGAGTGAACTAAATCCAAACCAACACCTAGGGACAACGCTAAGGTCAAACAGTCCTATGGGGCTCCTCTTGAGATCCTCCATACTGACCCCACCTACTAAGTGCTAGAGGTTAGGACAAATATGTGGAACTTCAAGTTGAGAAAGGAGGAGTTTAGAATTTCTAATAGTGAGTGTTCCTT